GAGGGTAGTGTGTACGCAGACCTTACCCCTACCATGGGACAGAGAGACTGTTTCCAATAGACCCCCGGCATCCTTCCCTCCAAGAACTCCCCACCTTGCTCTAGGAGTGACTCGAACTCACAACCTCTTGGTTGGAAGTGGAGGTTGCTTGCCATCAGACCCCACCAGTATATGTGTAAGAAATCTACTAAATATGTACAAATATTAAACTCTAAACCCAGTAACTCCAATGGCCAGTGGTGTTTCAGTGGCATCCCGAAACCATAAAGTTCAAATTTTGGATCTGCCTTTGACAGAATCCATCACACAACTTACAAAGATTAATAGAATTGTCATAAGACCCATAAAACAAATCATGTTCAATTAGCAAAAAAGGTGACATAATCCAAGAATGATTCTGTATATAACTAGCCACACCTCTGAACTACAGGGGAAAAGACGACGACAACAACAACAACTACTACTGCTACTATATGCCTCAGTCCCAAAAAAGTGGGGGTTACAGGAATATCATCTCATGCCAATATTATGCAACTATAAATAAAAAGTATTATGACTTTCTGCATATATAAATGTAAAAAAAAGACAACTTTCTGAAAGATAAGCACAAAATCGAACCTTGTGATTGAGGTGATGAAAAGATCTTAAACCACAGTTAGCAATGGTTCTACTAATGAAGTTTCTGCTAGAAGGAGCAAGCTTTGGGATAGTATTTAAGAGCCTGTGTTGATTCAATGTCGAAAATGAAGCTTCATTTGAAATCTTGGATAGTGTAAAACCCCATCTTCCAAGATTTGATGAAATCATTTGACCCGAATCCTTGTTTCGCCTCAACATTGAAATTAATCTGCTCTCCAACATTGCTTTTATGTTGGGTTTCGATTTTTTCTATCTAAATTGCTGTGAATTTCGTGTTGTCATCTATTTGTGTTTGCTGGGTTCTTGTTTTTTTTTTTTGGGGCACTTTGGCTTGGGCAAGTTTGTTAAAGCGTTTGGACATAAGAATTGTAAAATTAAAAAAAATAAAAAAAAAGGTTTTTTCATGTGAAAATTATATTTAAAAATTAGAATTGTGTTTGGACATAGATATAATTTTGGATTGTTTTTAAAGTTTTGTGAGTGATCTGAACGAAAATTTTGAGAAACAACTTTTTGAAGTTTTTCAAATTTTCATAAAATTACAAAATTCATCTTCAAGTAAAAATTAAAATTTTTATGGCAAACTGCTGATTTCGAAAAAAAGTAAAAAAAATTATTATGTCAAGCTGGGCGAGGATTTGAGGATGAACCGGCCGGTTCATTAGAGAGGATAATAAATTTTATTTTCTAAATTTTACATTCCACCATTTTGTAGGTAGTGAAAGTGAAATAACACATGTAAATTATTTTTCTGTCCTATAATTACAAAAATATTTGTAATTTATAGGATTTTCGTGTTGTTTCTAATGTTTTAGGTTTATTACAAAAGTATCAACCAAGATATAAATAGTTTTGGCAATGAACTAAAGGTACTTTCAGAGGGGTGTATTATATATGAGGTTACATTTAGATAGATTGAAAAGTAAGGAACAAAAGGTCACGAGACTGACAAAAGAACTTGTCTTGTTTTGGATGTGGTCACCACAGTCTATACACATAAACTTCCAATAAGAGAATCTCTCTGTTAAAAGCTTTTTTGGTTGTTTCCTCTATTTTTGGTTTTTTGTTCTCCTTTCATATAAAGTGACTCTGAATAATTGTCACGAGATTTTATTATAACCGACCACCCCTTTGTTCTCCACGTCCATATAAGCTCAAATAATTCATAAGTACAAAAATAAATCATATATTTTACTTTTTGTTCTTGTTAGTTTTGGAGCACGGTAAAATTGTCTCTGTGTAACGTTATGGGTTCAAGTCGAAAAATGTTCAAGCAAAATCAACAAGTGATGCTTGTATCAGGGTAGACCACCTATATTATACGCACATGGGGTGCGGCCCTTCCTAGGGGCGTAGGCACCTTGTTTGAAGCGGTGTCACATGACATTCGATTTTTTTTGTTTGTAATCTTTGTGTATAAATAATAAATAAAATTAAAATATTAGGTATAAATATAAAAAAATGACATTGCTTATCCTGACAGTAATTTATTCATTTGTTCATTTTTCAAATATTGACACCGTTTACAAAAATTCCTGCATACGCCACCCCGGACCTTGCGTGAACACGAGATAATTTGTGCACCGAGCTGTCCTTTTGTTCTTGGTATAAAATAGAACCTGATAGCCTTCAAATGTAGAGATAAGGAGAGACTGTGATTTGCTCTAATTCTTGTTCTTTATCAGGACTTATTGCAGTGACACAAGAATGGAGGAGGAATTTAATTCATCTCCCAAAAAATATGCAGAATCTGAAACTGATGATGCAACTAAGTTTAACAACTCCCTGCAAGTAAGTTAATATGAATTTTTCTTTTAAACCTATCTGATTATGTGAATACTTTGTTTGTTTGTTGGCCAGTTTTTGGATGCTGAAAACTATGTGTGAGCTTGCTCACATTGTCAGTCCCAAAGTCCGGATAAAGGAGGAGAGTTACGGTAACCTAACAGTCGGCGTAAAACTCGTCAATTTATGATGAATCCTCGCAATATAATGTTAGACGGCTTAAATTACAGCAATATAGATGGTGGGGATTCATATAGTTAGACTCACCACTTGTTTAAGATTAAGGCATAGTTGATGTTGGTGTTTTTTTTTTTCTTTTTTCTCTCATTTTTGGGTTCTTGAAACTCTGTGTGAGCTTACTCACATTGTCAATTCCACGTTTTAAAACTGTAGTCAATTATGATGAGATCTCACAATACAATATTAAATTGAGTTGTGCTTAAATGGAGTGATGATTCATATAGTCGACTCCAACTTGCTTGAAGTTGTTGTTTTGGGTGCTAGAGGAGAGTATGTGTGTATAGTATTTCGTGCCAACAATTACTCGTGGAGCTAGCTTACATTTCTTTTTGATTGCAGGAACTAAAGGACTTGTGCTCTCAGCTTCACCATGCTGCAGATTATTGTGAGAAATCTTTTCTAAAAGCAGAAGAGAAAAAAGAGTGAGTATTTCTGTTTCTGCCTTCCAGCAGCATTTGGAAGCTAATAGTTGGGAGTCTTGTTCATGCAATTGAAAATTTTGTAACATGAGAACTCAAAACTAGGAGAAAATAGGAACATACAAGCAAAAACAGAATAGAAGAGTACAAAGTAATGACAGCTTCTAAGATATTTGAATATGATTCAAGTTATATACACTGACAGTGTAAAGATTTTTTACACTATCAGTGTAAGCAGGGTCCAGGGAAGGGCCGTACCCCAAGGAGGTATCATGTAGGCAGCCTACCCTGAAGCATCACTGGATGATTCCACGGCTCGAACCCATGACCTATAGGTCACACAGAGACAAATTGACCGTTGCTCCAAGGCTTCCCTTCACCTTGTAAATGAAGTAATTCTGTAAATATTATTCACGCTGTCACTGCATAGAACTTAAACGCTCACTGAATACTGAAGCTCATTGCTAATGTAACAATCTATATTTCCATACGCAGTGTAGTGGAAAACACAAAAGAGTACCTCTGTAGAGCTGTTGTTACAGTCGTCGATCATTTAGGATGTGTATCAGCTAAACTTGAATGCCGGATTGCCAAGATTGACGCAGCTTCTGAAACAGAACTTCGGATTGATGGCTTGACTCAAGTTCGTAGCTTTTACTCAATTTCTTTATACTGTCGATATATATAACTTAAACGCATTAACAAGTAGTAATGTTTTTCTGTGATGGTTCAATTTGATTAGAGACTTGCAACCTGCCAACAATACTCTCAAGAGCTTGCTCTCTCAAGGCTTTGTTGCACTACTGATTTATCAACATATCATCGTCGCTATATATCACCACGTAATTAATCTTTTAGTACTTTTTAACATGTTCAATCCATTCAATAAGGTCATTATATTCTGATACCAAACATAATAACTTCCTAATACTTTTGTTTTCTAAACCAGCAACTCAACATCTCAGGAGAATGAAAGAAATGCCAAGGTAATATCTTTATCCAATCGCGTCATTTCAAGAACGGAAGCGGAGCCTTGGCACAACTGATAAAGTTGCTACCATGTGACCAGGAGGTCACGGGTTCGAGCTGTGGAAACAGCCTCTTGCAAAAATGCAGGGTAAGGCTGCATACATTAGACCCTTGTGGTCCGGCCCTTCCGAACCACTCCTAGCGGGAGCTTAGTGCACCGGGCTGCATATTTCAAGAACGATGTGAACTGGTAAAAAATAGGACTAATGGACTTGCATGATAAATGAAGGGGATTCAGTATACCAATTGACAATAAGGCTGTGGACAGAGATGAATTTGAGGCAGAAGAAGATGTGCCCCTATTTTTATACACTTACAACTACAAGCCTTCTCTACTTGAAGATTCAGAGAATTCTAGCTTTTCACCTCCAGGTAAGGAAAATACATTTACAATATGGAAATTTTCAACATTAGAGTTTTAATAACAAATGTTCATATTTCAATGTTCACATATGGATTTGCAGTACTGCCAGTTCGGGACGGTCTATCTGTAGTACCAAAAGCACAAAAATCCAACTTTGAATTTCAGGTACCCTTATATCAGCAATCTTTTGATATGGATATAGTGTTAAAAACCATGTTCATGTGTTTTTTTCTCTTTCTTTTGAATGCAGGAGGCTCGAAAGCTAAAACGAAACTTATTAAATTGGAGACCGATGCATAATAAGGACATAAGGTCACTCATTCGACGAGGTAGAAGAATAGTAACATGAACTTATGAAGAGTCTGAGACTGAGATTATAATTCGATTCAAGATTTTGTAGACAGATGCAGGCTTCATGTTACCAGTATCGAAAATATGTAGTCTTACTCTTGATTTGCAAATTATGTACATTATAAAGGGGACTTAGTAGTAGCAGCTGCTGCAAAAATATGGAGAATGGAGTTTATGCTACAAAAAATATACATTAAAAGCACAACATAACATTGTTAACTTCCCTATCCACAATGGAAGGAAGAGCAGTCGCATACTTCAAACACTAACCACATCCAACGCCTTAAAAAGGTCGGAGTATTTACACACAGGTAAACTTCCTAACTACTTCAGGTTTTGTTTACTTCCTATCTTCCTATCACCTTGACATTGTTCTCGTTTATCCTTTCTTTCCTCAGTGTCGTTGCCTAGTGCTGTTAGTCCCGAGCTGTTGGACTTCTTAGGCCACTTTCAATCTTGTCAATGTAGGAAAATTTCTTGGGAGTAATATTAGCTAGTTTTGTCATGGATTTGTTGTCATTTTCACCTTTGAAATAAGCCTCCAAGTTACCCGTCGAATGATTCTTCTTCATTCCTGTTTCCCCTAGCTCCACATTCCAGCCAATAAAATCGAATAAAGTCCTCGAAGACGGTGTTTGTGCTGTAGAACTTAACAACTCTGCCTCTAATTCCTTGGGAGTTGACACACCACTTAATGGAAGTGGAGGTGAGGAATCAGCTGAGAGGTTCTGGTTTGCTATCGCGAGTGATGGATCTTGCGTTAGAGAGTCCGCGTATAGCACGTCTTCAATACGTGACATAACTGTGTTAGCTAGGCTTTCTAGTACCCTTGAGTAGCTCTCCAGAATAGAGTGTCCTATATCCTGTACACATAGCAAAAAACAGAAACAAGCATGTCATGATTTTGTGAGGTAATGTGTGTTTGTTCCTCTGTCCGTTTCATTTTATATGTCACTCTTTCTTTTTTAGCCTGTTTCATAAAAGAATGACGTGTTTCTACACTTAGAAACTCTTTAACTTCAAATTTCCTACTTTTCCTTTAATGGTACGTTCTTATAATCTTATACAATCCAGGGAGAACCATACACCAAAAGCTAGCTATTGAGGTGGGAGAGCCCAAAATTATATAAATCCCACATCAGCATATTGCAATACCGATATGGGACTCAAGTCCAATATCTTATAATGGACCATAACAAACCACCACGCTCCGCATTCTTCGTCCCCGACGGCTGTGCGCTAGACTTTTCTAGCCCCGGGCGAATACTGCAATACCACGTCACCATCCATGGCACGGTGGACACGGAGGGCGGTGGATGGCTTTGATACCATTCATACAACCTAGGGAGAACCACTCCCCAAAAGCTAGCTATTGAGGTGGGAGAGCCCAAGGCTATATAAATCACAGATCAGCACATTGCAATACCGATGTGCGAGTCAAGTCCCATACCGTACAATGGACCATAAATATAGTCGTAGAAATATCATGATATGACTACAAGTTCTGAAGACCGTTATTTCTTCCTTAAATTATGTATCCAGTCAAACACGGCTTATATAAAATGAAATGGAGAGAGTAACTTACATTGTTATATTGGATTTTGCTGATGTCAAGGGAAGATTGAGGGATTCCAGGAAATCTTTGTTTTAAAAGGAGTAAGATAGTCTCTGCTCTCTCTTCAAAAAGTTCCCTTTTCTCCAAACTCACAGCTGATCCCCAAGAAGATTTTCCATCTTTATGGTGCATTTTTCTCTTCCAAATCACTACAGATGCCTCAATTCTGTTCTTAAGATCAAGAACTTTGTGTTCTGTGGACAAATCCATATTGGTTGAAAGGAATTGTTCAGGATCAAAGAACTCAACTGTGATGCTCTTGTAGATTGAATCACCAAGACTTTCTCTACCATTCTTCAAGAAATCAGAATAAATTCAAGGGGTTAATTTCACGTATGGTCATAAAAACTATCTTTTGTCAAATTAAAATAACGGAATTGTACGTACTATAACAGTAAAATCACTAAACTTTACTCAATATGACAGTATAAGTTGCAAGTACTATTTTTGCCACGCTAAAGTAACTGAACTTTACCCATTATAACAATATAAGACGCATGTGCTATTTTTGTCACATTAAAGTAATTGAACTTTACCACTATAACAGTAAAATCATTGAACTTTACTCAATTTGATAGTATAAGTTGCAAGTACCATTTTTCTCACATTAAAGTAACTGAACTTTACCCATTATAACAATATAAGACGCATGTGCTATTTTTGTCACATTAAAGTAATTGAACTTTACCACTATAACAGTAAAATCATTGAACTTTACTCAATTTGATAGTATAAGTTGCAAGTACCATTTTTCTCACATTAAAGTAACTGAACTTTATCCACTATAACAGTAAAATCACTAAACTTTACTCAAATTGATAGTATAAGTCGCAAGTAGTATTTTTGTCATATTAAAGTAACTGAACTTTACCCACTACAACAGTAAAATCACTAAACTTTACTCAATCTGACAGTATAAGTGGCAAGTACAATTTTTGTCACATTAGAGTAACTTAACTTTACTCATTATAACAGTAAATTCACTCAATTTTACTCAATCTGACAGTATAAGTCGCAAGTATTATTTTTGTCATATTAAAGCAACTGAATTTTATTCACTATAACAGGAAAACCGTTAAATTAACCATATATTCAAGAGAGTGTTTTTTCCTCACCTTGGGAAGAGATTCCATGTAGTTTTCAGGAATTTCCATTTCTGAGAGTATTTGTGCATTAATAGCCATAGATGCTTTATGTACTTGATTCACACAATCCTTTTGATATTGTAGCCATTTTCGACATGTATCCGAGAGACCTTCTGGTGGTACCTTGACTGTAGGTAGCCACCATTTATCATTCCTCTGTACACCTTTCTCAGATTCATCAGCATCTCTTGAAACATACCAGAACTCATTCTCATATTTGAAATTTTCCAAGCAATCCTGTTAAGTTTCATGAAATTTTCCAGTATTAGAGAATAGAGATAATGCAACTAATGTACTCCCTCTATTCCATTATTTGGAAACTCTTTGATGTTAAACTTTCCGTTTTACCTTAATTACATGCTCTTATAGCTATAGAAATGTCATAGCATGTTTTACATAGTGGCGCCGCCACATGTATTCAAGGGGTCGTCGGAAAATTATACTGCATAGCTTGGTAAAAAAATTATTTGTATATATATTATATATTAACACCTCTTGGCTTTTTCCTAGGGCGGATGCTGCATATGGATACTTGTTTCATTTGAACTCAGTATTTTTTATCCGGAGTATAAATTTATGTGTCACTGCATAGCAATAAATTATAGATATGTACCCATAACTTTAAAAATATAATAATTTCAATGCTAAAACATTAAAGAATCGACTCATAGACCTTAAATTCTAGATCCGTCTCTAACTTCTTTATGGGTTTATTTCTTAATATTTTGATCCTCCCTATTGAAAATACTGGCTCCCTCACTTATTTTAGACCACAATATATAAGGGTATTTTGGTATGTGTCAGATCTTTTTTTTCTTTATTAACCTCCTTGACCAGTCAAACACAATCATATAAAATGAAACGGAAAGAGTAATAGATTTATCAAGTAATAGCATAAAATTGCAGGTTCTCACAATGAGCATTGCATCAAGTTTTTTCAAGGCTGGGATGTTCATAAGCAGATCTCTTCTTTGTTGTGTCACCATTACCTGTCAAATTAAATCACATTTCTTATTTTCTTTTTTTTTCTTTAATAATAACTATTCTACTTTAAATCTTGAATTGGAAATGAGATAGAGAAATGATATAGGACCTCCATGTTTGTTCCATCCTTAGATTTTTGTTGAGAAGGAACAAATTCAACAATGTAATCTGATACAGATAAAAGCCAGTCTATTTCTTTTCTCCACCTTGCTTTTCTCTCTTGAGACATAGGCTCTAATTTCCATTGTTCTCCAAAAACAGAAGCTATATATTTCACACACACAAAAAAAAAGAAGAGTTATTTCTGAATATTTCTTGTAAAGAACAGAACCTAGCAAGATGGTTTTCACAATTTCATAATATATCATCATATGATGATATAAATATGAAAGGGAGCCTTGGCGTAACTCGTAAAGTTACTGTCATGTGACCAGAAGATCATGGGTTCAAGCCGTGAAAACAGCCTCTTGCAGAAATGTAGCGTAAGACTATATATAATAAACCCCTGTGGTTCGGCCCTTCCCCGGACCGCGTCATAGCGGGAAGCTAGTGCATCGGGCTGCCCTTTATAATAATATAAATGTCTAACACAAATATTATAACTGATTTTGGTGAAATTTACCTGCAAGATTAGTAATGGCATTTGATAAAGCCAGAGCTGATGAAACACCCTTTCCTCCACCTGACATATCTTCTCCTAATAGCAGCTTTGCAAATCTTTCTTTCATCATTTCCATGTCTAAATCCAAAAAACAATACACCATCTATTTACATCTAACTTTGATAAATAAAATAAATAAAATAAATAATTTGCACAANTTTCTTTCATCATTTCCATGTAAAAAAAAAAAAAAAAAAATTGCACATTGCCTCATCTTATTATATGCACAAATTCCAAGACATACAATTAATGATATATGTGAAGTATAAGGGTAAAACAACATCCAACATGTACATAATTGTAATTCAGACGTACACATGCATGCGTACAGGCAGAGGCAAATTCAGAATCAAGAATCAGTGGATTCAGAATGAATGTGGTTTCAATATATATAAACATTTCAAATTCTATTTGCATATGTATATATAACTCGATCCAAAACCAATGAGTTCAGCTGACATGAAAAATTATACGAACCTGAAGAATATTTATCTTTATGGTTGTTTCCTGATCTTGATCCTTCCTTTGCAAAGCGCGAAATAGGATTAACAGACCGATTAAAAACGCTACCTATATGTTGTTTTTCTAATAATGCTGAAGATGATTTTCCACCTTGACTTCTAAAATCCATGGCTTCTCTACCATGTCCATTTTCTAACATAACACTATGTGCTTGTCTTCCCTCAAACATCTTCCTAAAATTGAAAGATTTTGACTTATGAATCTTGTATATTTCTCTAACCATTTTATGCCTTGTAATACCTACCTATTTCTTGAACTTGTTACTATAGCAACATAATGTCACATAGAAAAAATTGTCAAAAATCAAAGGCAATGATATGATGAATATGAGAAAATGGTAATTTTTTCTTCTTATTTTTGATAACAATAATAAGGAAGAGAAATAGTGGGAGATATGTTTTAATTTGCAGCTAAGTATGTTAATGAATTTTTTTGGAAAGTGGGGTGCATGTTTGATGAAGGGGAAACTGAAAGGGAAAGGGGTAGGTGAAAACAAGTGGTTTTGGGATTTATTAATGGTTGAATTTTTAATACTAGCAAAAAGCCCGGGAAAGCATATAATGGACAACTAACTCTCGTTTAATCTCGTTGATGCCCCTCTTTTCTTATTATTCTTTTTTTTCCTTTGATTGCCTAAATTTTAGGAAAATGAACTGTATAGACGCTGTAAAAATAATAGGCGGAATATATATATATATATATATATATATATATATATATATATAGAGAGAGAGAGAGAGAGAGAGTATGCTATATACAAAATTTTTGCAAATTTTATACATTTTTTCAGCTACCAGATGTAAATAGTTTCTGGCGCGGACTAAAAGTGATAATACCCCCTAATTTTAGGGCCGTCAAATTTGACTCAAACCCAAATGATCAGCCCAACCCGTCCAAGGTTGGACTGGTTATTGATCCACTCATTTATTGAACTCAGCTCATCTTGATCCAACCCATTTAAAGTTGATCTGATTTTTAGCCCAAATTGATCTATGAGTAACTTTGCCAAAATATCTTTAAAATAATTATTTTTTGTTTGATATGTTATATATGACCATAACAGAAAAAAAATCTTATTTAATAATTATACAATTCATAAGAAAACAACACGTACTAAGTAAAGCTTGATAAGAGTTGGGCAGGTTGGGTTATGACCCAAATTTTAGCTTATCTTAGCCCAAGTAACTTAAATGACCCGCTTGATTACGGACTCAACCTATTTTAACCTGCCCAAAATTGGCCAAATCCGCCAAATTGACACCCCTACCTAATTTTAAGAGAAATGAAGAAAGTTCTTAATGTATTTTCAAGGTTGTCATATTATACTTGATATATGAAGTCTGATGGTTTAAAAGTTAGTTCATATAACTTAAACTCATTTCAAGAACAAAGAATAAGCAATGAAAGATAGGACACAACCAGAGGTGTATACACCTAGCTCCAAGCAGCGTCACATGATATTACTTTGTTGAATTTTTTTATCAGAAAATTGCACCCGATGACCTTGATAATGAATAGTCTTAATTTTTTTACCCCATGGGCAAACTTTTAAGGTCAACAATAAAAAATGTTGCTCATGGAACAAGTGAAGTAACACTTGTTAAACTTGGAGTTCTGCACATGGGACAAGCGGTGTCAAAAATCAAGAGTAGCACCTGAAGTGTCCTATTTGTGCAAAATCACCTTTTTTTTACTAAACATGTATATATAGATAATAAATAAAATAAAAATAGCGCTATAAATATAATTAAAAAAAATGACACTACATTTTATTATAATTTATTCATATGTTCATTTGTTTAAATATTGACATCACTTACGAAAAATTCTATATATGTCATTTGACACAACTTTTCTCGTTTCTAGCCGGTAGCCACTACCCTATTTTGATCGTTGTCTAATAACAGAAGTCTACAGTTTCAATTTACGGATTACTGCACAAATAATCGGTCATATTCATTATTTACTTTTTCTAGTCATATACATAGATTATACATAATTACACACATGTAAAAACATAAGTTATGGATATATTATATATTCACTGGCTGTTTTTAGTTTAAACGTCGGTTATTCGGGTTAATTCTTCTTCAATAATTAAATTATCTAATAGTTACAACCTTAAAATGCAGTTCAACTTGGTCCAAAAACCTTCCCATGTGCTTCCCCCTCTTCCCTATTGCTATCAGCGAGGTCCCAAACTCTCATACGGTGCTATGTGGGATTTGAATTTGAGGCCTATATTTAGTCAATTGTTTACGTTGCTATACATAATTTGTACGTTGGATATTAATGAGTGCGTTAAATAGGGCTAGAAGTTGGATGCAAGTTAGGAGGTGACTCTACTATGACGACTTTGACTTAAGACTAGTATATCTGGCCATCAATAAAAATGAGAAAATGACAAAAATGTCAAGTAAAATTTTTACACGGCGTCTTATTTGGTCGTTTCCATTTAATTTATATCCACTTTTAAAAAAAACTAGATTTAGGACACGCGTGATATACGTAAATTCTGTCTCAATACAACAACAACAACAACAATAACATACCCAATATATTCCCAACAGGTAAAGTGTAGGGAGGGTAGTCTGTACGCAGATATTAGCCCTACCTAATAAAGGTAAAGAGGTTGTTTTCAATAGACCCTCGGTTCGGAAAGAAGAAGAAGGAGGAAGAGGAGGAGGAGGAAAAGGAAAGCAAGAAAGGAAGAGAGAAGAAAATAGTATTAAGTAATAAAATAAAAGTGTAAGTTCCTAAAGAAGATCATGAATATTAATTGTATATAACTAACTCAATAAGTAAAGGAACTATCTTAGAAGTCCTTAATGTCAATAATTCAACTTAAAATTTTGTTCCAAGTTTATAATTCGGGAGAAAGAACCTAGAAAATCTAAATAATCTTGAAGAGTACAACTTATAAGATATAAGCAGGTAACTAATAATCTACGAACTTTAAATAACACAAAATCAAAGTGTAATAATAGACAACAAAAGGTATTAAAAAAAATAAAAAATAAAGTAAGCTAGTAAGAGAATCTACAATTGAAAGCTAGCTAATAAACCCACTCATGTTTAGCTAAATGTATCATGGATTAAAAATCAAAGAATCTCATAAATTATCTTGTTTATTTTGTGCCTTTTATTGATTTCTTCGCAACATTGCCCATAATTATAATAGTGCATTTAAAACTTTTGAAATTTAAAAGTATAATATTGAATAATATTATTAGTGCAATAGTCTTGTATATTTTTAAAAAGTGAACTATCTACGCTATTGTTCAAGAACTCATACCTCTTCTTTCTTAAATATTTTTATTTTTTTATTTTTTACATTTATATATAGTTTACGTGTAAGACTTATACAAAATTCGAAATGAAAAAGGAAAACAAATTTTAACTTTCTCCATGGTTCAAATAAGAAAAAAATTAATAAGTAAATTTTAATTAATTTTAAGATCTAAAAGTTTTTGAAAAATAATTAAATAACTATTAAATGAAGTGTTTCTTGTAATATTTAACATGAAGTTGAGGGACTTCAGAATATAATTTTGTATGTGATAAAAGATCAAGTTTGCAATGAAAAAAAGGCATTAGTTTTGAAACATTTGTTTTAAGTATAATTTTTTCACTTCAGACCTATTTACCCTTAAGTGTATGAAAATATTTGTTGCACTTCAAACTTTTTTTTCTTCAACCTCAAACTCGATAATTCTGAAGTTGATCATAAAATGGGTAGACTTGTAAATTTTTGTGCAAAGTGAGTATAAGTTCAATGGTGAAGCAAGCTCACTCTCATTCCAGGAATCAGAGGAAGGCATTTTGTCCGGTAATGAAGTTAGAAGTTTCCGGCTTGCTTTCTCTCTTCTCTTGCAGTTGGCAGTCTTAGTCAACCTTGTTCCGAGCCTTCTCTTCTACTCTATTTGCTTATTGGATTGGTAGGTATAGTCTTTCTTCTAGGCTTCTGATTGAACTTTAAGGTAATGGGAGAGAAGGCAATTGACAGATAACTGGTAAGTAAAGCTATGGATTGGGTTCTGACTCTAAGCCAGTACCAGTAATTTGAAAAAAACGATAGACATCTAGCGCATTCACTCATTTTTTCTTTCTGATAGGCCAACTCAAAGAGGGAAATGCACGGGGCGTTGGCGGTCTTTTTTGCCTCGCCTGCTACTGGGAAGAGAGAGCTGTTGTCATTCTTCGCTTCGTTCGAGAATCAACTGCACATGAATAGGCTCTTCATTATGCCTTCAAGGAGGAAGCGGCTTTTTTCCAAAATTCCCGGGAGAATGAAATGAACTTCTTTTCGTAAGGCAAGAAAGTCACCTAAGGAAAGTAGAAGTCTATGCACACTAACCGAATCTTTGGGGAATGGTGGTGCAAATTGGCCTTTTCCCTTCTCCTATTAGAAGGAGATGAACTATCTATAGATTTGTATGTGAGTGCACGATAGGAATTAAGAGAAAGCTGGCATCCAATCAAGAAAAAATCACTTCGGACAATTAGACTAAGCTTCCCCCTTCTCTATCTTCTTTAGCTAATGATGAAGCAAATCCCTAAAGTCAAAGTAGTCCATGAAAGCATCTATTTTTTCCGTTCAAGAAATTGCTTATGTAAAGATGGGGTGAGTCTCTTATAAGATCTTCCTTTCTTCTTTTTTCTTCTATTAGTTAGCTTGGATTAAGAAAGCTCTGCCCAGTAGCACTTACCCATGTGTGTATAGACTGAAATAGTCTCGCAAAGCCGGTCAACGGTAGCCTAAGAGCAAGTCAAAACTACGAGAAGGGCACGAGAAGTTTTGTGAAGGTAGAGAGAGATTTTAAAATCAGACTTCAAGTTAGTGTGTCGCGTGTTAAAAAGGCAGATACCGCCTCAGGCTTTGCCCTAATTCCCATCTAAGGTTGAATAAGTTAGATTAGTCTCACTAAATTCGTTCTCGAATGATTCATCGATGGAATTAGGTCTAGGTCTATGAAAATTTCTTGTGATTCCCCTTCTTTCTTCGACGACCCCAAAATTGGTACATGTCACGCCCCAACCTTGGGAGGTGCGACCGGTGCTCAATCGAGTAAACCCCAACTGAGCAAGCCTTATTCATACATTTCTACCTAACTCACTATGGTTAAGGGAACCATGCTTTCTTTTATTTAGACAATAGCAAAATCGAACATACACAATATTAATCCATTTTCATGTCACAAACCAAAACCATTGTTAAGTTTCAAGATTTTATACGGTTATAGTTTATAAGAACTAGAGTACAAAGTTACAATATAGTTCATCGACCCATCCAACACCCTTACCTTACCTTACCTTACCTTACCTACACAAATATCTACGGAGCCTTTAAGGAAACAAAAGACAATAATACCAATGCCGACAACAAGGCCCCGACTATACCTCAAAAGTGGATATCTATAACAAAAGATGTACAACATAACCTCTTGAAGG